TCCAAGCACATGACCGGAGATGCATCCAAGTTCCTACAAATCAAACCCGCTAAAGGAGGAAACGTAGTTTTTGGAGACAACAGCAAAGGAAAAATAATTGGGGTCGGCTCAGTAGGTAAGTCCGAAGACTCGTCCATAGATAATGTCTTGCTTGTTAAAGGTCTTAAACACAATCTCTTGAGCATAAGTCAATTATGTGACAAGGGAAACCGTGTGACCTTCGATTCAAAATCATGCACTGTAGAACGCCTTAGTGACAATAAGGTCATTCTACGTGGTGATAGAATCGATAACATTTATATGGTTAACTTAGACAAATCTCCTTCCGGCTTTGCTAAGTGCCTCATGAGTAAAGAGGAAGACACTTGGCTATGGCACCGAAGGGTAGCTCATATGAACATGAACCTTTTGAACAAATTGGTTTCACAAGACTTAGTAATTGGCATCCCAAAACTTAAGTTTGAAAAAGACACCATATGTGATGCATGTCAAAAGGGGAAGCAAGTTCGGGCTTCGTTTAAGTCTAAAAACGTTGTTTCAACGTCTAGACCGCTTCAACTTTTGCACATGGATCTCTTTGGTCCCTCTAGAACGAAAAGTTTTGGTGGCAATTACTTTGCATTTGTGATTGTCGATGACTACTCTAGGTTTACATGGACCTTGTTTCTAACTCATAAAAGTGAGGCATTTCATGTTTTCAAAAATTTCTTAAAGAAAGTTCAAAATGAAAAAGAGACAACCATAGTAGCCATAAGAAGTGACCATGGGGGAGAGTTCGAACGAAATCTGTTTTCAGATTTGTGTGACGAACTTGGCATTAATCATAACTTCTCAGCCCCACGTACACCACAACAAAATGGAGTGGTGGAACGTAAAAATAGATGTCTCGAAGAAATGGCTAGAACTATGATTAATGAGGCAAAAATTCCTAAGTATTTTTGGGCGGATGCCGTGAGTACCGCGAGCTACATGTTAAACCGAGCCGTCATTCGACCGATACTCATGAAAACGCCCTATGAGCTATACAAAAGGAGAAAGCCAAACCTTTCCCATCTTCGAGTCTTTGGCTGCAAATGTTTTATTCACAACAATGGCAAAGACAATTTAGGCAAATTTGATGCCAAGTCGGATGAAGGATTATTTCTGGGTTACTCATTACGTAGCAAGGCTTATAGAGTCTTCAATAAACGTACTTTAACTATTGAGGAGTCTCCTCACGTTGTATTCTCCGAAGATAACCCTCGCTTGGCGAGAAAGGATATTTGTGATGACCTTGCAGAATCATTAGAAAGAATACATGTTGATGACGATGAAGACAACACCGGAATATACATCAACACACAGCCGCAAACTGAGGAGATACCTCAAACGACCAACCAAGGAGAGGAAGGAAATCAGGAGGAAGAAGAAGAAACAACCGAGTTACCCATAGCTTGGAGAACACACAG